TGGATGCGAAATGAGAACTCCACCACCTTCCCCCAAATAACCTCCTGCGGTCAAGATGGGCAGAAGCCGTGAGAACGTGAGGTCTCTCTCATCTCAAACCATTGCCACAAGGACCCTTCCTGCCCAGGATGGTGAAGCTCCACAAAAACCTTGAATTTCAGTGGATCTGCATTTTCTGACTAACAAAAACAACCCCAAATTCTGCCCCATGAAGCTTCACACCACATGATGTTCAAGGTGCATCTAGTCTGTGACCCACCTGAGTGCTTCCCAAGGTCATCAGGACCGATGTTCCTTATCTCTTCCCCCCTCTCCATGATCTCTTTGGATCTTTTCACATCCCACCACCTCTGCAAACCCAGCGTGCAGCTCTCCCTGCCCAGCACCCCCAAGCTCCTTCAGAACCCCCAGCCCTTATCCAAAGACCTGAACAAAGAACATTGTCCAGTGCTGCTGACCTCACTCTCACCAGCAACGCTCTTGCAAATCCATAGGAGTAAGGGTCACAAGATCAGCCTCTCCAAAGAGAATCCCAGTACAAAGAAGGCACACAGGGACAGCGACTGCCCAGCTAACAGCACCCCTCTGGCAGCCTCGCAGCACCCCTGCTCCAGGGGATGGCCGTGTGTAAATGCTCTCAGGGACACTCTGCCTTCACTTTGTTATAGGAACACAAAGCACGAGATCACCTTGAGGGGGCAAAACATCTCTGAATTAAAACTTGGGCATTTATAGATATGCTTTTTCTTTTTTTCCTTTTTTTTTTTCCTTCTTTTTTTTTTTTTTTCTTCTTTTTTTTTTCCAAACCAGAAGTGAGTGACAGCAGCTCTCTAACATGACTTACACCCAGCCTGTGGCACAAACAGAGGGTGAGCCAGGATCACACACTGCAGAGCTGTGTCCCCAGCCAGCAGTAAGGAAAGGCTGCTCAGTTAGGGAAGGAGCAGAGTGCTGGGTGCTTGGGCACTGTGTTTCATCACAGGACACGAACCAAAGTGAACGTCGCTTTTGCTTCCCATCACCCTTCTGCTTGTGGGGAAACTGAGGCACAGGCAGAAGAAGCAACTTAAATTGATTCACAGAGCCCAAATTATCATGCATCTGTTTTCATTAGGGACAATAATAGCATATTATGTGTGCTTAGAGCTTTTTAAGGGAACTGAAAAACCTAACCCAGTTTAGATGGTTAACCCAGGCTTAGTTAAACCACAGGTTAATCCTTAAACACCACACAGCAGCTCTCATTTGCTACCACAGTGCAGTAAAAGCTGAAGGGTGCATCACTGTCTTCCCTAGAACCAGGGTAAGTTAGTTTAAAACACGAAATCTCCCAAGGAAATAGGGAATGGAGGGCTAAACCCTTCTGCTGAGCAGCGGTATCTCATAGTGTCTTCTCTGCTTTGCAGCTCTCCTCCACCATTCCTCCTGTGCACAGTGACCTTCTCCAGAAGCATCACCTGCACCAGGTAGGGACATTACTGCTCCCTCAGAAGAGGACAGACACAGCTTTCACTGCAAAATCCCCAAAAGATGGGGAGAGATGCAACTGGTGGGGGGCAGCTCCCAGTTCAGGTGACTTCACCATGGGCTGGGGCCACCAGCAGGCACCCTCCCCTCCCAGACACTGTCCCCAGGGCTTTGCAGTGGGCACACAGCCCTTCCAGCTCAGCCCGTGCACCCACATGAGTCACCATCCTCATTCTCCACTATTCCATGACCTTGACCATGACCCTTGAAACTTCAGCTTCTTCCTCCACCCTTCCTCTATGGACTATGAACACTTCCAGGCTACAGCTATCTTTAGCAGGCACCTACACAGCATCCAACCCAGTGAAATGTGGTTTTATCTGAGGTTTCTAGGCGTTACTGCAACACGGGGAACACACTCCCCGACTCCGAGATGTGTCAGCCCTCTGTGAGCAGCCCAGGATTGCATCCAGCCCCACACTAAGCTCCAGCTTCAGCTACACACAGCTTTTTATCTAACAAAAAAAATCACCCAAACCAGCACAGAAACCCTGTGTCACCCCAGAGGGGGATCTGTGTGGATCTCCCCAGATAATCAAATTTAAACTACCACCAAAATAGACCTTTGATTAGTGTCTGTGGAGTCCATTCATAGCGACAGCATGTCAGGTCAATGTTCACTCCCAAAATCAACTGGCTGCCTCGGGAAAGGGATTTTTTTTTTTTTTTATTTTTATTTGCTGGTCTGCATTTGAGGTCTAGTTAATAAACAGCATACTTGGGTGTGCCATCTGGCCAGCCATAGAGCATGCCTAGAAATAATACTAATAATCATCATACGGTGGTGCTTGAAAAAGGCAGTTTTACAAAAGCCTGGGTGAGCTGATTGAAACCTATCAGGCGTGTTTTGTGTGCCCCCAGAGCTCAGCCTTCAGGCAGTCTGTCCCTCAAATCAGCCACTGTCAAAAAGGGTCAGCGTCCAAAATTCCACTGCTGTTTTACTCAGATTCATCTGAACAGGAGCCGCTTTTTTCCGTGTTTTGTGTGCCCCCAGAGCTCAGCCTTCGGGCAGTCTGTCCCTCAAATCAGCCGCTGTCAGAAAGGGTCAGAGTCCAAAATTCCACTGCTGTTTTACTCAGAGATTCAACTGAACAGGAGCTGCTTTTTTTCATAAGCCAGCACGCAGGAATTAACTTGGGCAAGTTCGAGTTGGGCTGGTGCTTTTAAAATAAATAAATAAATAAAATGAATACAGTTTACAGTATTTTTAATGACAACGAAACAGAAGCTGGTTGCTGGTGTTGGGCAACGCTCAGCCCAAGCAGGGACTGCCCAGAGTGACATGCACCACTCATCCAAGGACTCAGCAGCAGGTAGGCATCAAACCCAGAGCTCCAGACCCAATGTTCCCAGAACAAGAGCCAAAACTCTCATTCCTGGATCCCCTCACAATGCAGAAGAGGCTCTCCCACCCTTTGGGACAGACCCCAACACAGGTACACACCCCATGCTCCTGCCCTGATGGATTTTGCATCCTACTTCATTTTCCCCACACACTTTGCTCTGCACGAGGCTGCCCATCTCGCAGCTGTACAGATGCCCCCAGCCCTACAATGCAGACAGCTGACCTAATTTTCCTCTTTTTAAACACCCAGAGGTCATCTCCATCTGCAGCAAACCCCACTGAGCAGGAAAAAGGAACACAGAGTGATCTCTGTTAACATCAGTCCTCCTCCACAAGTTTTCCTCCAAATTTTTCCCTGTGCTGCCTCTTCTAAATGTCTGAGGATCTGCATCTCCCACATCACCAAGGCTGTAAAATGGTGCTGAAGAGGATAAGCTAGGGAGGTCCTCTGCCATTTCTGGGTCCATACACGTTGGGGTTGGGTGTGATGGCCCATTATGTGCACAAACTCCACCTCGTTCTCCTTCACAACTCAGAGCATCTCACCTGAAGCTCCAAAGGGCGTTTCCTGGCTCACCCAGCACAGTGAGATGTGAGGAGATGTCACCCATGCCTGCGCTTTGCCCGTTGCCCAGTGACTCAGAGTTGGGGCGAGAACGTTCCCTCCCAGTTAACCCAGTCACTCCAGCAGCATCTCCCTCCTCTCCTAGCCCTCAAAGATAAGATTTGCCCCATCTGTCTTTCTGCCCAATTTGCCTTTCTAATAGATCTGACCAAACTTGAATTTTCTAATCTGTGGCAACCCCTGATGATTCCAGTCACATCTTCCCCATACCTAAAAGAAAGAACCACTAAAACAAGTGAAAAACTCTATACTCTCCATGCTCAAGAATCACCTTTTTTAGTAAGAAGGTCACTCTAGTCAGTTGGAGCATTGCTTTGAAGTTCTGATTTTTCAGAGCTTATGCAAGCAGAAAAATGCAGCATTGAAACGAAAAGGAAGGACATCAGCACAGGGTTTGGGTGTTTGGAAAGTAAAAAAAAAAGTATTAAATAATTATAAGCAGCATGTCCCTGCAGAACACTGTGCTTCTGACTCAGCCCCAGCCTTAGCAGGGAAGTGCAGGTGTTTAGCACACACTGAGCCTGGACCAAACCCTGAAAGACAACAAGGCTGATGCCAGCGCAAGGCAACCAGTGCAGAAGCCCATTGCACCTGCACACGGGTATTGCTTCCCTCACAGGGCCCTGGAGAAGGGTCAGGGGCTCCAGGAACGCCTGTGCTGATGATTTTCTGGTGCCCAGGAAGGCCTGAAATCTCTGCAGGGTGGTTTGTTGGGGGGTATCCAAGGAAGAGAACCTGTATCTCACTACCTTGCAGACATAAGCAGGGGATCCAAAGGGTCTGGCTGCTGCTCAGACCATCATCTGCAGGAATAAAGTGACACCCTCAACTCAGCAGCAAACCTCTAATGACTGAGATCACTGGAAGTTGGAAAAAAGTAATTGCGCACTGGCTTTTAAAAAGCAAAATGTGAGGGTGGGTAAGGCGAAATGAAGAGGAACATGTTCATTATATAAGAGAGCAAAGCATCAGCCATAGTGACTTTCTTGACACGGTGAAGGAGAAGCAGTGACGGGGTTAAACAACAGGCAAAGCAGGAGCTGACACTTCTGTTGGGCTGCTGCTGCTTTCATGATGCTGGACAAGGGCAGAACACAAAGCTTCACTTGCCTCTGGTGTAATGAACATCTCTTTGGAAAACAAACCTCCCCAAAGCTCCTCTGCTCCACTCCTGAGCTCAAGCGGGAAGGCAGTCCCGTCTGATAGGGTCTAATGGATGCAAAAGGCATTAGAGGAGAGGTTCTGCTTCCTTACAACTCAGAAATGCGAGTTAACTCCCTTGTGGGCTGCCAGGGCTTTTGCCACAGCTATGGATATTTTTATAATCCAGATCTTGAAAGAGAGGAAGAATATGCTTCATGAATTTTTATAAGACCAGCTTCCTTCCTGCTTTTTCTTTTTTTTTCCTTCAATCCTAGCACCAGATGACGAGATCCATTCTTGCCTGAATGTGCATCCTGTATCCCAAAATACCCCCAAATCCCAAAATGCCCTGTTACTTACCCATCACACTGGGCACTGCTGGAGCCGGCGGGGCTGCAGCCACAGGGACGGCACCGCTGGCTGCTCTGCTCCAGGTAGAAGCCCTCGGCACAGCTCTCGCACCGCAGCCCCGCGTAGCCCTCCAGACACGGGCACTGCCCCGTCGTGCTGTTGCATTCGGATGCGCTGGCGCTGCCCACGGCGCTGCAGTTGCACAGGTCTCCTGCAAAGGGAAAGATGAAAGAGAAGCTGAAACCAGTGTGTGGGGGACACAGTGCCGAGCAAGACCCCAAATGGGGCCAACACCACTGTCAGCACAGCTGCCCTCCCTTTGCTTACTCCAGGTTGGAAACATCATCACTGTCAGGATGATATTTGTTTTAAAATGTTGAGGATGACGCAAGGGCTGGAGCACCTCTGCTATGAGGACAGGCAGAGAGAGTTGGGGCTGTTCAGCCTGGAGAAGAGAAGGTATAACTACTTAAATACATATGTATGTAGCCGTGTATTATGTCTGTATGTATATATACACACTCATGGGTTCTCTGGTTACGTGACTCCAGGAGCTGACAAGCACTAGCTGTTGTAATACTAGGATAAATAAGCAACAAGTAGCAAAATCACTAATTATAAGATCCACCATTTCACAAGAGAACACCTCCCATTTACCAGCAGGCTGGTTGTTATGACACAGGACCTGCACAACATACCTACACAATGAAGCAGCACCAGCATCTCCCACTCCTGGAGAATAGATCCAGAATGCCTGACCAGGAGCTGGAGCAGCAGAGGAGTTCCAGGGGTTTGGGCTGGTGGCAGTAGTCCCAACTGCAGCAGCCCAATCTCCCCTGGAATTCTGTCCTCAGAGGAACACTGAGAACATGGAAAAGGCTTTAAATGCTGGGGTGGTGGAGCTGGGGGCAGGATGGAAACCTCCTGGCCACCACCTAAACCACCATGGGCCACCGTCAGCCCCACAGTGAGCGGGGACAGCTCTGGGGACCCACACGTGCCTTGGGGACACTCCTTATTTACAGGAGTTATGGAAAACATGCACCAAGCAGCCACTTTTTAAAGAGAGGAGCAAATCTTTTGATCAAGTGATGAATTCGCAGTCCCCCCACACATTATTTCTCATAATACTTTAAAGTACCAAACGCATTGAAGAGAACAACTTCTCCCCGGCAATTTGTTTCTGCCAAGAGCTTTATCTCCATTCCTTTATTGCAAAATATTTACTGCCTTAATAATTTAAAGACTTCTTCTGCCAAGAGTGAATTATAAACAAGGATTATTTGCAGATATAGTGCATAAAGCATCGGGGGCTTTACGCAACCGCTGGTATTTGTTATTCCCTGAGAAAAGCCAGTATTCAGGGCTCTTCAGAGAGAGGGGAGAGGCCAGGTCCCCATCGCAAGAAAACCTGACTTAAATAAAGCTCAAATCATGACCAGAAGACCCAACACTAATGCTCTAGGTCAGCACAAGTATTTCAGATTATTTAACATTTATATTGGACACCTGTGCCCCATCCAATGGAAAGGACCTCAGCAGGTGCCTGGATCGAACCGCCCTTAAAACCCAGTGACTGAATAAAGATGAATTTCTGAATTTGTAAGTAACCTGTTGAAATCCTACCACATTTCACCTCAGAATATCTTCGGAAACACAAGCCATGAAGTCTCCCCCATCACAGCAGCATTGTAAAGGCTCCCCAGTGTCCGTCCTTCCTGGGGAGCAGCCCTTGCCTTTGAGTCCACCAGTGGATTGCAGCAGAATGGGAAGGCAGATTAGAGAGCAGTTTGCCAGACAGGTTAAATGAACATCAAACCATGATTACAGGTTGACTTTTCAAGGAACGCTACAAGCCAAGCGGGAGGAAGGATTCCCCTCTCCCCAAAAAGGGACCAGGGAGGAGCCTCAGGATGTCTCTAACCAGCAGACATGCAGGTTACAGCAGCTGACTGTTAAATAGCCACCAATGCTTTTACTGTTCATCTGCTTTCTTCCAACACACAAAGAAATACAAGTTCTTTAGCTTTGTTACTCTATCGATACATGCACAGTATCCCCACAAAAGTCATTTTGTACCTATACACCTGTGAAATTGCACCTAAATTTTCTTCAGTCTAAACCAAATGGAACAAACGCCACAAGATCTGCAATTATCCACTTCAGCAGCTACTTCACATAATGAACCAAATTCCCATCTCAATTATCCAAGTGGAACCTTATCGATTTGGACACTTGGGCTTCTCCCAGCCAACAGGAGCCACAAAAACTTGTTGAGTAAAAGCACTTTGGAGTTTGTCAAACAGGCATTGAAACACATTTACCTTTCAAAGCTCATTATGTGCAGCACCATTAGACCTGCTGGAGCTGATTAAGAAAAGAACACAAGTATTGTATCAGGTCTAACAGCGATGGGAAGTGCTGAGAGGGCAGGTCAAGCACAGCCCCGATGAGCTGCTCCATGCAGAGACCACCGTCACGCTGCCAGAGCCACTGCTGGCTGATGATGTACCAGACTATGAAAACCCAAGGCTTCATTTATAAGCCATTTTGTTGTCCTGATGGCAGGTGGGTTGGAGAAGGTGAGAATAGTCCACAGCCAGAAAAGGAAAGTGATAAACATCTACTTTAGGCGCTGGGAACACAGCAAAGATGATGAGCACTACAGATGATCAGGGAACAATATCCTGGCTCCTGGCCAGAGCTTGGGTTTTTGGAGCCTTTATTCAGTTTTCTCAAGCAAATGTTTTGCTTTTGAAGGTAACCTTCAAAAACACCTTCCCAAGAGCTTTTGCAAACACAAAGGAACAAACAAGGGTGGACAAACCCCAGAGCTGCCCCACACTGGGATGCTCAGCCATAGCTGGAGGTATTGTGCTGAGGTTGGGATAACACCATCAGCAATGGGAACGACGGGCAAAGACATCTCAGGGATGGGGCCCTGGTCCAAGATCCAACTCACAGCTCTCCCTGACTTTCTACAGTCACTCACCCTTGCTCTGCCTCAGTTTCCCCATCCACAGTGTTTATCCATTCCTCAGGGCCTCCAAGCTCTGCTTGTCTCTGCTTCCCCATTTTAGAACATCGAGGTTTCCCTTCCTTCCCCATAAAAACAGCTCAAAACACTCAGCTATCAGTGATAAAAATCAACCACCTTTGCTCATGAAGGTGTTGACAGGCTTTAATTAATTAACAGCCCAATGATATTTTGAGATCTTGGAAGAGAGAGACTATAAAGTGTGTACCACTGCCACATGTTACTCCTTCAAGAAAAACACAAAATGAAAAAACCAAACAAGCAAACAACCACAGTTCCCTTCATAAGCTGCATTTTAACCTTTATTTTTCATTGCTTAGAGGCAGGCAGAATAAAAGTAAAGGTTCACAGTTTGCTCCAGCAAAGGACACGCTGCTGTATGGGAGACATAGATTGAACATGCAATTTCAGTTAGCTGCAACCCTGGATTGATTAGTTATTATGCAAAAGTCCTAGGTTACTAATAAACAGACTAGTACTTTCTGGTTTTATTGTATTGCATCTGGGCAGGGATCTCATTCTCCAAATCCCACCCCAGTGCAAAGCCCTACCCTGCAAACCCCAGTGATGTCACAGCCCCAACCAGGTCTGTGTGACATCCCTTTATCTCCCATCCTCTCCTAGTACTCAAGCAGGGCTCATTCTGCTGTAAAAATAGATTTCCCAAATTATTTTCCCACATCCTTTCAGACTTGCAGTGTTTTAAGTCTTCGCACGTATTTTAAGCATGATTCCTTCTCCCATTCAAGTGCTACTTAATGAATGAATAATTTAAAAACAAGTGAAATATTTACAAACAGTAAAAGAAAAAAAAAATCACTCTGAAACACACCAAGACATCTATATGAAACTATTTGCTGGGAACATCCTGAAACAGTGCAAAACCTGAATGGAGTCACCTGCTCACTGGGAGCTGACATGGAAAATCTAAGATGCACATTTTTTTGTTAGAAGAAGGTGCAGCTGAAAAAGCAAGCTGCGAAATCCTAGGGATGCTACTTATTGTCCAGCTTCAAAAAACATCCCCAGGGAGACAGATATTTTCTAGTCTCTGGAATAGGAGATAGGAAAAAGAAAAAAAATTTTATATATATGTATATCCTGGAGGTACTGTTAGTGTTGTGGTGCTAGTGCTGCCCCGATATCCTCACCTCTTCCCTCCCTCCTGTGCACCCCAGTTTCTCCATTCCTTCCCCAGCACAGGTGGCTCAATGGGAGCAGCCCAAAAGCCCAGCCAGCCTGAGACACTCACTTCTTGATTCTCGAATGCTTGTAGTTACACTGGCTTTACACCAACGTAATCTCCCTTCACACCAGTCTGACCTCCCAGTACTAACCCAGCACTGACTCAATCTCCTATTCACTGGCACAGGGATGAAGCCAGTGTGTTCACTGCTCACAACAGCATCCAGCCCTGGAAAGGCTCCGTTTTGGTATTAATTTAGCAGTTCCCCCCTTGCTGCACTTTATTCCCAAATCAAAGCTCTACCTTCTCTCCCTTCTCCCTCATTTCCCCTTCTCAATCCCTTTCCAGGCACCATTTCTGACAACAGAGGAACAAAGGGATCAGGCAGCAGGTTTAAAAATCTATCCAAGGCCATTTCCTTTCCCCTTGTAATTGAATTGTGGAACGCAGTGTCAGGAGATGTTCTGGGAGCCAGAAATACCTATGGCTTCACAGGAGGACTGGATAAACTCACAGAGGACAGGTCTGCTGGTTAAACACAGGGAAACATCCTCATGGGAAAGTCCCCAAAATTCTGGCTGTAAGAAAAAAAAGTCAGGATTATGCCCTGTCCTCTGGGCATTGTCTTCTGTCCAGTCTTGGACGGGTGAAGCTTTGGTCTGACCCAGTCTAGCAGGTTTTTTTCTCCCCATTCCCACTGCTTGGGGACGGCTGCAGCTCCAGCCCTTCCCCAAACACACAAATCCCCTTTAAACAGTCAGACACAGCTATTTCCACTGGGAATTTTTTCTTATTACAG